CCTGTGCCATGGTAACTAGGGAAGGCCCTGTGCCATGGTAACTATGGAAGGCCCTGTGCCATTGTAACTAGGGATGGTCCTGTGCCATGGTAATTAGGGATGGTCCTGTGCCATGGTAACTAGGGATGGCCCTGTGCCATGGTAAATAGGGAAGGCCCTGTGCCATTGTAACTATGGAAGCCCTGTGCCATGGTAACTAGGGAAGGTCCTGTGCCATGGTAACTAGGGATGGTCCTGTGCCATGGTAACTAGGGATGGCCCTGTGCCATGGCAACAAGGGATGGCCCTGTGCCATGGTAACTATGGAAGGTCCCCTGCCATGATTCCTAGGAAACCCCTTGTATCTTCTCGTCCATCCTAGTCATAGAGCTCTATGAATAACCACAAGACCCGACAAGAACTTTCTTCTGCTTACAAAACGTGTTCCACTACTAAAACTCTTATTCATTAGGACTGTTTAAAGAGCAGCAACCAATCAGATTCTGGAATATGGCCGACAGCTTTTCTGTGAATGGCTGTCCCAAACATATCACCAGATCAGGTGGATCTCACTGTTATGAGCGATAAGCTGCTCGATCGCTGTGATGGAATGATAAAACAACATTTCATTTCATTTGTGCGCTGTGAACGTTTTTATGGTGCTTCTGTTTATTTGGTATAGTTACTTTATTTTGCATGACTGAGTCGGCTCCGCCTCCACATCAGTTTGAATTGATTTGTGCAGCAATCCTGTGGTGTATATTTCCGATACTCTACAAATATCTCTTTTCATTTGTAATGCTCCTGGTAGCATTTAAAGCTGGACTCCAGGCAGAAGGCTAAATACACCTATGAAATACATAGACGTTGTACCTGCCAAAGGATTTTTATTTCTGTTCATCCAGTCCTGAGTTTTCCACAGCTCTGCCAACACAGCAGCAAGTCAGGATGACACTACTTTCTGTATTATAGTTAAAGACCGTGGGGCTGTACAGTGGTATCTTCTCTCAAACCCCAGCCAGCTAACTGAATAGTGAAGGAACGGCATCGGGCTGATAAGGATATCCCTCAACTCACTCTGCTCTCTCCTTCTTTCATCATGCTCATTCTTGGCACATTTGCATGGGACACATCTGATCGGCAATTATTAATTTGTGTCTTGTGTATCTGCCTGGAGTTAAACTTTAAGGACCAGACATCTGCTTACATCTGATGCCCTCTGTGATAAAATGCCTTTTGTCATGTAAATAGACCTCTTGTTGAATAATATTATTATCATTATTGTTGGATTATGAATGCAATAAAAGGTCCCCGAGGACTAGTTTGCTCTGTAAGCCTTGTGATTTCTTCATAATGTTTTATAATTAAGATTGCAGAAGATCTCAAGCTGAGACAGCCATCGATGGGAGATGGTGGAACCAGAACCAGACCAATGAATGAATTTTAGAGGCCCGGAGTCAAGATGAACGCTAGTGATTGGACCACAAATCCATGCAAGACCTTCTCCGGAGGCTGGAGGTCGCCTCTATAGCACAGCCCAGGTTTCCATTAATGGCTTGCCTACATTGACCGGTGTTCTATCAAAGTTTGTGACTGCGTTAGAATGTGTGACCGCCCAGTTTTTCGGCGGTGGAATGTGTGACTGGTCACACATTTTAATGTAATCCCGCCAACTTTTTCGGTGGTGGAATGTGTGACCAGCTAAAGGTGAAGAATTCCAACGTTTTCTCAGCTGTTTCAGGGCATATTGGCATCGCAGATCGTATGTGCAGGAAAACAGATCTGCCCTGGAACAGCTGATCTGTCCTGAAATGTCACTTCTATACGACTCTGTGGAATGCCGATCTGCCCTGAAACAGCTGAGAAAGTATTGCAATTCTTCACCTTTTGCTGGTCACATATTCCACGGCTGAAAAAGTGGGTGGGATTACGTAAAAATGTGTGACCACCTGACCGGTCACACATTCCAACCCAGTCGCAATCTTTGATAGAACACCGGCCTCTGCACCATTGAATGTTCTGCAGGTTTGTCTGGAACATCTTTTGCTTATATTTGGCCCAAATGTATTACTATATATGCAGCATTTTGCATTTGGGGCAGGTGCACATTTTAAAGGGTCCGTCTACCCCAAAACTGACAATTAAGAGGCTCTTGAGTTCTAAACCTCCTAAAATGTATCTATAGCCAATTTTTATTGGAGTGGTGGTCAACTTGTTTGATATTGGGGCCTCGACTGTGGCCCGACATCACCAAGGAGCGTCCATGATATCCGGTGAATGTAATGCTACAGGAAGACTGGGGGCATGCAACAGGAGATGGTCAAAGACTGCAAACATGTCATAAGAGTTTGTACAAAAGAATCACTGCATAGATTCTCACACTGGCCACAGGTGCAGGTTGTGAGCCCATGCACGCTCCTGTACCATATGCCAAATGGCCGCACTCTGCTACTCTACCGCACATAAGATTTATTCTTAGATCACGGTCACAATGTTGTCCCTGCCATGAACAGTTCACTACTGACGCTTTTCAGGCTTAATCGTAGAGATTACATTTCTCTTCGGTTAAAGAGTGAAACACATCCGTCACTATCATCCCCTTCTAGAACTGCCCACTGCTGGCGCATTTTGCCCTTACGGGCGTAATTGTAGAGATTAACAATTCTCCCGTAGCCTGTAAAGGTGAAACGTGTCAGCGGTGGGTAGTTGAAGGAAGGGACTACAGTGTAACCATGATCGATGAATAACGTTTCGGTGAAGAGAAGCAGAGTGTGACTTGTTTGGGACTGGGGAACACATTACATGGGACTGATAGAGATCACTGTTATTACTCTCCCTTTTCAGATCAATCCCCAAACATTTGTGCTAAAATGTACTTGTGCCACAAAAAGAAATAAGCTGAACCATCTACCTATCAGAACTCAATGTAAAAAATGCTTTTCCTTCACTGAAAGCATATACTACTGTCTGCAGGTGCCCCAAGGGCTGCACAGTAAGTGCCAAAGGGCTGCATCAGGGGCGTAACTAGAAATCACAGGGCCCCATACCAAAATTTAGTATGGGGCCCCTTTGATCTCTAGTTACACCCCTTGCAGAGCCCAATTGAGATCCCACACAGCCCACCTGAGGGTGACCCTGCAGAGCCCACCATAGACTCTCTAAGGTGGGCTCTGCTGGGTCACCCTCAGGTGGGCTGGTCACACTCCTTACCTGTCCGCCTCCTCTTCCGTCACCGTCGGTGATGAGCCCAGCCTCCTCCGCCCGTCGCCAGGCCCCGCCTCCTCTGATGCCAGCCCCGACTCCTCCTCCACTGCTGGGTCCAGCCTGCTCCACCGCCGCTGCTGGCTCTCACTGACTCAGCAGCGGCTGTGGAGAGGAACGCGCCGCTGCACAGATCACTGTCAGTGATCTGAAAAGTGGCACATTTCTCTTCACAGCCGTTTGTGACAGCCAGCAGCGTGAGATGCCAAAGCGACCTAGGTGGCCCGCATGGCATCAGGAATGTCCTGGCCGGGCCCCCCTGTGCCCCGGGCCCCATAGCGGCCGCCTGGGTCACTATGGTGATTGTTACGCCACTGGGCTGCATGCAACCCCCCAGGCCAGAGATAGGGCACCAGGGGAGCAGAAACCGGTTATAATACTAGTTAGTTGTTCTGCAGATTTGAACCTTTTTTTGCATATATTTTTTAGAAATGCATATTTGCATTATAATATAATATTTGTCATTTTTGCATGGGGCAGGTGCACATTTTAAAGGGCCCATCTGCCCTAAACTGAAGTCTCCATCCAACCAAAACCTACTGAAATGTTTTTTTTGTTAGTCCCCCTGTTTTTTCTTTTAGTCCTTCTGCAAAGTCCTACAAATATCTGTTGATCCTGTCAGTGAAGTCCAGTGAAGTGAAGGCGTTTGCATCACTTCCAGGGTTGTTCACTAAGCTGCCTAAGTCAGCCGAGTGAATAACTGAGCCGAAGTGAGCTGAGCCGAAGTGCAGTAGGACTTTGACTCAGCTGATCCAACATCTGGATCAGCTGAGCCGAAGCTTCGGCAGCTCACTCGCTGCCGTTCGCCCTTATTCTCATATATTCTCATAGGGGCCGAACGGCAGTGAGTGAATAGCCGAATGCCACCAAGCGGCATTCGGCTCGGCTATTCTGCTCTGTACCTCCTTGGTACCGAGCACAATAGTAAATCAGTGAAAAGAATGTTAAAAAAATGTTTTAAATTACAAAATAATGTAAAAATGTAAATAAATAGCAAGATTAAAAAATAAATAAAGATATTTTTTTAAAAAGGAAACAATAATAATAATAAAAAAGAAAAGCAATTGGGCAGAGCTAGCAGTGACAGCTAGCTCCACCTGTTTCCTGTTGGCCGACACCTGCTAGAGTCTTGTAGCAGGTGCCGGCCAATGAATAGCAACTGGGCGGAGTCAGCCGTGATGTCATGGCCTGCTCCTCCCAGTTGTTATTGTTTAATGACAGTTTGGCGTCCCCAGGTCATTTGGGGATGCTGATCTGTCATTACAACTGGGCAGGCCGTTCGCCCCGCTTCGGTTGTCACTTCGGCTTCGAAGCATACGCCTTCGGCTCAAGTGAGCTGCTCAGCTGCTGTACGGGCTATAGTGAATCGCCCCTACAGCAGCCCTTCGGTTTGACTGGCGGAGAGCCAAAGGATCAGCCAAAGCTGCGGCTGGATCCTTCGACAGCTTTGTGAATAACCCTCTTAGTAACTGGATTTCAAACTTGTTTAAACTGTAATAAAGCTTTTAGTTGTATTTTAACACATTGGTGCAGTGCTACCACTGGCCACTAGATGGGGGAATTGCACAAGAAGCTGCAAGCTGATTGCAGCATTCCTAAACACATTGCACGCTGCATGCAGATCCTATTGTCCTTCCCTGGGTCTCTGCAAATTGCTTTCAAGGACTTTTCCCCTTCTAAAATGATTTCTGCAACACAAAGAAGATCATTTTCCAAAATGTACTGTTTTAATCTATGTCAGTTAGTTGTCAGCAGCTCACTTAATCTAGCTGACAGTACAGAGTTTTGTGGAATACGGTCCCTATAATCAGCTTCTTCTTGTACGGCGAGGCCACAGATGACCCCTGAATCACCGAGCCGTTATTGACGTAAACTCGATGCACTATCCAGTGATCTGTGTGAATGTCCTGTACACGGATAACCTGCAAAATCAATAAAGAGTCTATCATTTCTTAATTGTGGTTCTCAATCATGAATTCAGAATAAACACAGAGGGTCTTATTAATGGGGAGAGTCTTAATAATGGGGAGAGCATATAATTCAATGCTGTAGGGCAACACAGACTGTCAGAGCCAGAGATTTAATAAGTTATCTATGCTCTGGGCACAAAATTTATATTGATGTTCTTCTCTTGTATGTTATGTTAAAACCCAGCTCTGGGCTAAATGTGCATTTTTGTAAAAGGTGGCCCTGGTGTTATAAAACAAAAGGAAGATCAGGCTGCAACACTCGCCTAATCTGGTGCTGTTCACCATAGTACTTCCTTTTGCCACATGATGTCCTCAGTCGTGCAAGTTGGATGACACCTATGGGTCTATTTATAAGCACTAGATTGGAGTTGAGGGTATAAAAAAGTATTTCCTATGCTCCTTTGCTCCATCTAGTGGCCATCATGTAGAATTACATGACAATACGTTCAAACTGGCAGAAAAATATATTAACCCCTTCATGACTGAGCTAGTTTTCAGGTTCTGTTCATAAATGACTGACACATTTTTAACATTTTTGCTGTGTGATTCTTCCACAGTAGTAATATACTTTCTTACTAAATGTACACACACATATCAATACTCAGACATTAATGAATGACTGTTAAATGCTGAGAATCAGAAAATACCGGCATTACAAAGCCTGATATAACTAGTCACGTACAGTGTACGTGGCCAGTCATATAGGCACAAAGTGACAAGACGTACACTGTACGTCTCCCGTCACGAAGGGGTTAAACATTCGTTTTTTTGCATTATTCACCCAGAACGAACATACATAGATATCCGCGGGGCAAAGGGGCTGCACATTGTTTATAAATAGATCACTAAGTGTCAGTCAATTCATAAAATTGAGAACTCTAATGTGAAAGCCGTTTGTCATGATGCCAACCCTTGGGGAGGCATCAATATGGCACCCTTCATTCACATTGTGCTGGTGCAGGAAGCGACACTGGCATCATCACCTCTGCTCGAGAAGTGAGCGAGCGCCGGTATGTGTTCGCTCACTTCCCGATCTATTGAGCCGACCTGTGACAGTCTCATTGTCACAGGTCGGCTAGAACTATGAGGATGAGTGATTTTCACTCACCTCATAGTTCTCCTTTAAGATAATTTTCCTCCCGAGTTCTTCTTTAAGCTATACCTATAGTTCTTATCTAACCATGCCACTCTGTCATGTCATAGTACCCAGGATTGTGAGAATGTACCCAAAAACATTTATCTTACATAATGAATTCAATAATTGCCCAAGATATTAAGATTGTGGCAAAGATACACAAAAATAAATCAAAATACACATGCAGTACATCTCTGCAATCCATGTACAGCACATGTGACCAGGATTTGACACTTTTAAAAATGCTGCAAATACAAAATTATACCCGCAGAAACAGTGTGAGCTCCTAAGTTTCTGTTTGCACTGACAACCCTGACTTTGCTGCACTGAGATCCCAAGCAGTGTTGTTAACCTGGCCTGAGTTCTTCCTTTAAAACAACCAAAAAAGATGGTTAGAAGGACACTGCCCGTGAGAACTTATGATCCAAAGGGGAGGGGCAAGTGAAACAAAAGGTAATAGCCGTGAGGGGATGAGATGATGGATAGAAAGTTCAGTTTTTAGGAAGAGACCACATAGGTTTTCCTGAAGAGATAACTTTTCGGGTACAGAGGGTAGAAATATTATGAGCTTAGCGTTAAAGAAAATTAGTTTTATGTCAGGTGGTAAATTAGTGATGCGCAAAGAGACCAGGGAGGTGATTTTTGGAGTAGAAAGATAGATTTTGGTGTCGTCAGCATAGAGATGGTATTGAAAGCCATGGGAGACTATTTACTATGTCGATAGAAAATGAAAGGGGCCGAAGGACGGGGTCTTGGGGGACCCCAATGAAAGAGGGAAAGGAGGCGATGGAGTCATAGGTGACACTGAAGGAGTGCTAAGATAGGTAGAGGGAGAACCAGCAGAGAGCAGAGTCTTGGAGGCCAAGGGAGCAAAGTTTTTCCTTCTCCAAACTCTTCACCCTTTAGTACATAGCTCTGTAAGTGTTCTAGAAGTCTGGAGGTAAACAGGAGCAGGGAAATGGGTCTCAGGTTTTTCAGACTCGTGGTGTCCAGCAAGGGTTTTTGAAGTATGGGGATGACCAGTGCATGTTTCAGAGGAGAGGGGAAGATGAGCGTGAGATTGAAATTGTGGGTTACATAGCATATGGAGATGAAGAGAGGAGGAAGGCCTTCTGTAATCAGGGAAGCCCTGAACAGGGCTGAAAATACTGCTTGGGATTTCAGTGAAGCGGAGGGCACTGTCAACCCACTACAGAAAATTAGGCGCTCATTAGATTTCTGGCAGATCTTCAGGGGCGGGAGTTTTTAGATGGACTTTAAGACGTTATATTTTGGTGCATAAAGAGAGATTAAACGCTTTAATATATTATAACATATACACTAACCTCTGATCCGGGGGGATCTTCATCTTTGTAATTAAAAATTTTATATAAATTTGGATGTGCTCCTGTCCAGATATCGCCAGTTACTGGATCCACTGACAGGTTATCTGCGCTAGTATCTACGTCAACTGCCTGGTGTTAAAAAAAAACAAAACATAATAGTGTATTTTGTATGCATGAGAAAGAAAAAAAAAGAAAGAGGGAGGGAGAGTGAGAGAGAAAAAGAAAGAAAGAGAAAGAAAGAGAGAGAAGGAAAGAAAAAGAAAGGAAGAGAAAAAAGAAAGCGAGAGAAAGAAAGAATAAGAAAGAAAGAAGAGGGAGGATGAAGGACTTAAATACTACCGCTGCTGCAACAACAACACTAATAAAATAATAAATGAACAAATCAAAATAGATATGTGAAATATAATTACCTTTATAAAAGTTAGAGACCAGTTTGCATGTTTCTCATAGACATTGATTGTGTGACCTGTAAGGTCAACGGCGTAGATAAACCTTAAAAAAAAAATATGTTATAAACAAAGAAAAGTGCTTTATTAATAACATAAAGTCCCATTCCAAGCTGTTGTTTTTTTAAAGGTTTAGTCCTCCTCTTCCAAAAATTAGTAAACACAGCAACATACAGCAAATCTCATGAACAATGTGCATTTACTAATTCTGCTAATGTTTGCATTGAAGCCTGCAGAGCATCGCAGGTGCAATGCACAGGCTCTTTCAATGTTTTCAACCAGTCTTAGGTCCATACGGAGGTATTTACCTGACTGAAGGAAGTGCGGCTGGACTACAGAGCAGTGTGGGAGATGTCCCATCTGTGGCAGTGGTGTTTCAAACGGCTCTACAAAACTGATCTTGCTTTATGTGTGGGAGACACAAAATAATGTTCCTGACCCTTGCAGTGGGGCCACCACTTTTTCTTGAGCATTCTGACTCATAATAATACATTGCATACTTATACATACTGAGTTAATAAGAGATTGCATACTTTTTATCGTTGGATATGGCGATTCCATTAGCACTGTAGAGCCCCGACGTCACTTCTCGGACATCCCTGGGACTGTAATACACCACATTTGTCCACTTTAATCCAAGATACCCCTCTAAAGGTCTCAAAGACGCACTGTCAAAGTAATGATCGTTGGTGGCGTAAAAGCTCTCCGGTCCGACAGCGACGATATCATTCACACTGAAAAAGACAAAAAAAAGACCAGCTTTCACATTCTGTAAATGGATTAGGATTTTTCCTAAAAGCAATAATGAAGGAAAAGAATGTGGAGCAAGCACCACATAGTGTCTGTTGTCACTTTTGCTAGCCAAAAACTCTTTGTCTGTGCACCTCTCTGATACTGGTTTCACGTTGTTTTAGGGGCTTGACTTGTCTGACTTCAGGACTATTTTCTGCCAACCCACCATCTCTCAGTCCATTGACATTGTCTCAACTGGCCACTGAGGCCATGAGCAGGTATGTCTTAAGTCTGCCACTTTTTTGGGACCTGCAGCATGTCTGCACATGTATAAGATTCACTTTGCATGTGCGGACATGCCGCGGGGCTCTGTCAGGTTCCAATAACTCGCCATGGAGGCCTGTAATGTGTCTGTGCATGCATAAAATTCACATGGAAATACAGCAATACTTCTGTCCCTCACTAAAACAATGCCTCCAGTGATATGTGACATGGACATCCCAGTAGGCAGCAGGAGGCCAATATACATCATCCTTATCTAGGCAAGAAATCCGGAAGCGGGGGCTACTAGTGGGAAAAAAAGGTATTTCCTAAATTTTAAAAAACAGGTACTATGTGCAATTGTGTAAGAGGGAGTGGATAGGGAGAAGATGGCATATGTGAAGGTCCCCATTACAAATGTGCCAGTAAAGTATGTCACCTGTCACCCGTCCTCCTGAACGTCGCTCCACTGAAGACGAATCATGCAGTGAAGATTCTTCCTCAACCGACACTTCTAGTTGTGTTGATCTCCTGTCTCCCCCAACAGCAATCACTAGTTCCTCCCGTCATCCATCAACCCCAATGCTTCTGCCGTGCCCCCTAGGATTCTTTTCCTGCTACAGACCAAAACTTTATAATTTCTTCCAAATAATTCACCGAAAATTGGGAAGCAGATCTTACTTTGTGTATTTCATAAGGAAGTTTGTATTTTGAACATAGTTCTTCCTAAACCTGATCTCCAGGCAAACGGTAAAATACGCAGATTAATTGTACACGGTCTGGCCAAAAACAAAATTAGTCACACACTCTGATATTTCGTTGGATTGGCTTTGGCATTGATTATGGCACACATTCGCCGTGGCATTGTTCCGATAATCTTATACAATGTCACAACATTTATTTCCATCCAGAGTTACATTCATTTTTCACCAAGATCCTGTAGTGATGATGGGAGAGTCGGAGCACTGCGTGAAGTCTCTCCAGCACATCCCAAAGATTCACTATGGGGTGAAGGTCTGGACTCTGTGGTGGCCAATCCATGTGTGACAATGATGTCTCATGCTCCCTGAACCACTCATCACAATCTGAGCCCGATGAATCCTGGCATTGTCATCTTGGAATATGCCCCATGTGCCATCAGGGGGTTTTACTTTTTTCAACTCTCAAAGTTCACAGTAGAACATCCATTGATGGAAAAACCTGGTCATTCAGTATATTCAGGTAGGCAGCTGACCTCATTTTTCTGGGCATATAATGTTGCTGAACCTAGACCTATTATTCAATGGAAGGATCTGACCTATTTGCTTAGCTAAGCCCAGTTGGACCTTTTTTTGGCCAGGCAGTATGGGAGTTGTTTTACGTGCCCAAAGGTTTGTATTTCTGTCTATCCAATCCTGAGATTTACACAGCTCTGGCACACAGCACAGCCCTGTGAAAGGAGAAGCAGCAAACTAATGAGTTGGCAGGGTTCATATTTTGTGCTTTTTATCTGCATTTTTTTAAGTTGGTGACAGGGTCTCATCTTCCGCAGGAGCTGTAGTAAGCCCAGACCTAGGGTTAGGACAGGTGGAGAGACGGTTGATACAGTACAAATAACAGGACAAATAAATAGAAATATACTCAGTAAGCCCACTTTTTTGCCTTGCTCAGAATGTTAATGTAACTTCAGATCAGTCAGTACCTCTTCAATAATGGATGTTTAATGGTCTTCAGATGTAGGAGAGTTTTCTGCTTCTCATCAAATTTAAATATTTCAATAAAGCTTTTGAAGTCAGGCATGGGATGATTTACGACAAAAAGGTAGACCGTGCCATCTAAAAGAAAGGGTCAGAGTTTTGTTAAGACCAATTCCTGACCAACCAATACATGCTGTGTGATGAATAACAAAAGTATCCACAGGTCTGCAAGGTTGTATTTACACTGGGCATGGTTGTCTGGTACCAAGCACGATTGTCTCCCACCACTCCTCTGTTGGTCTGCATTCACATTGTGCCAAGCCAGGGCACCCTTACGTCATTTGCATCCTTACTAACGGAGTATCATACATATGCACACACATATGCCCCAGTCCACCTCTTTTGAACAGGCTAGTGCATGGAATGCAGAACTGTGAGAAAGGTGAGGATTGTAATTAAAGGATATCTATAGGAAAGAATAGATATCCTTTAAAAAGACAGTAACCCATCTGTTTTACTGCACATAGAGGTCCATATCATCTGGGGGCTGATTTATATAGACAAAAAGGAGTCATAAATGGAGTATTGGACCAGCAATATTTTGGTTCTGTCTGCTAGAACATAAGAATGGCTTCAATATCAGGATAAAAATAAATGTCAACAAGGGGCATTCCTGTCTGGTTCCATTGTTTAGGGGATAAAAGTAGAAATGGCTTCATTAGCCCATACCAAAGCCATGGGCTTCGAGTAGATGGTTTCCAACTATTGGCACATACAGTATGATCTCCCAGGCCGATGTGACAGAAAGTGGCATTCGGGATTGTCCATTCCACTCTGCCGAGTGCTTTTCCAATATCAGTAGAGAGCAGGCACAAGGGGATCTTATGTAAGTGGATACAGTGCAGAGGCGTAACTAGAACCTTCAGGGCCGCGGTGCAAGAAACCATGAAGGGCCCCCCCCGCACCGAGGTCCCCAGCAAGCGCGGGACCCCAGGCAGCCGCTTGTTTAAATTTTAAGTGCTGGTGTTCTGTCGAGAACGCTGACCCAGTATCTGCGCTTACGTACAGACGGGATTAACGAGGAAACCGGCATTTATTTACAAAGTATTAGCTTGTAATGGTTAATTGTGACCGTTAATAATATGCCGTCCATGGCAGTAAATGATGGAATATTAATAACAGTCACACTTAACGATTTAAACTAAATACTTTGTAAATAAATCGATTTTCCCGATAATACTGTTCTGTGTGCAAGCGCAGATGCTGAGGTCGGCAAATTCGACTATGTCGGCGTTCTCGACAGAACACCGGTATCTGCGTTTAGTATCGGGGCATTTTCACGAGTATGAGTACTTGTGAAAATGCCCAGTATTGGCACTGGTGTATCACTACTTAAAAATATAATGCATTGCTGGGGCTTGTAGTCCTACATAGTTGGAGATATTCTGCATTGCTGTATAATCTTCATACACCAATGCAGAATACCACCAGCTATGCGGGACTACAAGTCCCAGCAATACATTATAATAGAAGTCAGCACTACACACACTCCATGAAATCCAAGAAGATAGCAAAAACTACTGTAACATTTTACATTATGGCAAAAACTACTGTAACATTTAAGTGTCCAGGTCAGGGGTATGAGGGGCCCAAGTCAGGGGTATTGGGGTTAAGGTGCCCAGGTCAGCATAGGTGTAATGTGCAAAGGTCAGGGGTATGAAGAGTGAGGTGCCCAGGTCAGGAGTATTAGGCCTCATTCACACAGCTAATTGCCGGCCCGTACAGATCCGTAAGGTGTGCACGGCCGTATCGGGCCGCTTCCAGGAAGGACAGGTGTTGCATGTGATTTGTGCGCAGCAGAAGGTTCTTCTGTATGGGAGTACGTGACCGTACGCTCACCCAAACTGCACATCCGCGTGGGTGTCCATACTCGTACGCAGACAGGATGGTTCCTGTCTGCGTCCGAACACAGACACCCGCACAGATGTGCAGTTCGGGTGAGCATACGGTCACGTACTCCCATACAGAAGAACCTTCTGCTGCGCACAAATCACATGCAACACCTGTCCTTCCTGGAAGCCTGCAGGTCACCTCCAGGTGTTCATTGTCCAGTAGCTCCCATGCTGCTTGGAATTGGGCCACTTTATTTTTATTGTTTCTGTTCCAGTAGGTCCAAAGAAATAGAGCACGAATAACAGTCATTCAGCCCAACAGCCCGACTACATACACCAGCACGAGGTGAAGCAATACCTGGCTCACAGTCATGAGCAGTGCACTGCCAGCACAGGATCACAGGATGCTTCTCTGCCTGGCTGCCAGATGACAGCGATCTGCTCACCGACACATGCTGTGTGAGCTGCATGCTGTGTGCAATTGCGACCACTGCGACCCTGGTAGTTCCGCCAGTGGTGTCATTCTTAGCTTCCCTGTTGGGCATAAAGTCAACTTGATCTACAGGAATGATAGATTTTATTTTTCCTGTACTGTCACCGCAAAATCAACAACTACTAAATACAAATGCCTAATGATCAGCCAATTCCCCAGTCTGAGGAATTCTGTTGTAGCTTCTTACCGCTCTCATCAATGTACACACTGAGCCCATGAGGATTAAATGAAGATGCATCAATGCCCTCACTCAGCTGTAGTGGTTCTGGGTGAAGGACGTCATCGTTCAGATCTACCAGCAATATTTCTCCAGGTCTGTCAGGGGCAAAGCTCTTTATCTTAGGGTATTTCAGGCCCTTCAAAGAGATGTAAAATATTAGGACATACCCGAAGAACGACTACTAATTGTATTACCAGGGCAGCATCAATCCAGACATAGCAAATATTGTTCTTACAGAGCTGATGAAGGCCAGTCCATTGGGAAGAACGTGAATATCTTCAGAGCCGCCATCTGAAACAAAAAAGAAGAGATAACCATTGTTACTGCAGCAATCCATTAGCACATGGGCTGTCATTTCTGGCCTATTTCTATAAACACAAGTCTGTTTCCAGTTTTAATACATTAAACCACCTAGCCGGAACAAGTATGCGGATAGAAAGTCAGATCACCTTAAAAGTCAGAGAAGTCCTTTTTGAGAGGTCAATAATGTGCCTGTTTGTTGATGGCTTAGAAAGCCACTGGATCACCGTGCAAGCCAAAGAAGTACTTTCAGAGAAGCCTGTAATTAGGGATAAGCCGAACACCCCCGTGTTCGGTTCTAACTCGAACTTTCGAACATGGAAAAAGTTCTAATTCGAACTTAGAACTCAATGCAAGTCTATGGGGGTAGAACTCAGAAAATTAAATGTCCCCATTTTGAAGCCTTATATGCAATTTATTGGCCATAAAAAGTGTATGGGGATCCGGGTACTGCCCTGGGGGACATGTATCAATGAAAAAAACACTTTTAAAAAATACAATTTTTAAAGGAGCAGTGATTTAACATCACTTTGAAGTTGCATTAAATGCCTAATTATGTCAAATTACATTTACACTCCAGTCAAACATAAACATTGTGCTGCCAGACAATTTAACTAAGCAAGCTTCTAACTATAAAACTTATGGGCAATTAAAGTCAAGGATTAACCCCATGTCCAGGTTCTAAATCTAAACCCTGATGAAGGTGGATATCCCTGAAGTGTGTTGGTTGTCAACTTTTGTTGGGCTCTTTTATTGGGATGAATGAAAAATCATATCTGGACAGATCCTTTCACTCCATTAAACCTAACTCCTCTCAGGGAACCTGTTGGAGCTCCTCTGGGCAGTAAAGAGGTGACACACTAATTAAATTGTTTTATTAGTGCGAAATTGAACAAGCTGCAGTTTTGATACAACTGGCCTTCCTAATGGAATATTTGTTTTCCTTGACATCTGGTTAGTAAAACTAATCGTTATCACATATAAACCTCACCACTTTTACCTCCAAAAAGACTGATAACAAATAGTATTAGCTTGACAATGCAAATAATGTTAAAGTACTATAATTTATTTTCGCCATAATATGGTAACTTATAAAAAGGATACTTAAAATCCCCCCAAAAAAAACATTTTGCAAAGGATAGTAATATTGTGAAAGTTCACGAATTATCACATACATACCAATTCCTTTCACAAGGTGACAGTTGTGAGGATTAAAAGGTTCCACCTCTTTGAATAAGCCAGTTCTGTGGCTGCAGAAAAAAAAAAGTCATAACATCGTAAGCTTTTCAGACATAAATTTATTCTATCACAAACATAAAAGTTTACATTCATGCACCATTTGAAGGGTTCCATTATTTAAAAGGGATATTTTAGTTATACGGTAGGTCTTCTATATGTTTTAAATACTCCATCAGTAAGATCTCCCTGCAAAAATTCGTTTTTGTGTGTCCCAGCTCCTCATGTGACGTTTACATATAAAAATCCAGCCAGGCATATCATTGCATAGCAGATGCCTACCTAGTGGTATCTCTCCTGAGAGAGAAAGACTAGGCCCATTGGCCTGGCGGGTGCTGCAGTGAGCCTTCTCTTCATTTTTCTCCTACTCTAGGACCCAGAAATGTTTATTTCACCAGAGCGAACTCCCACCTCTCTTCTTCCTCTTCTTCTGCCCTTCCTCCTAGTGTACCTTGTCCCCATCCTTCCCTTCCTCCAACCCCTCCCTCTTCCTCCTAGACAGTGCTGACAGCAGGCTTAGCTCTCTTTTCTGGTGCCCCATCAATGTATCCACGTCACACCCAACAGATCAGTTGCATATTGTAGGTTATCAGGGAAAGCACCATATAGTGGATGAAAAAATTTACATGATCCCTTTATAGCAACGCAATGCTCGGTATATGCAGTGGTGTCACAAGGGGGGGTGCGGCCCACACCCGGGTGACACCATTGGAGGGGTGACACCAAAATGACTGGCAGTCATTTTGGTGTCACCCTCTCTGAAAAGTTGGGCACTCGGTTATGGACCAAGCCCGACAGTTGCAGGAGAGAGAGTAGGGGACCCGACGTCATACCTTATCCCGCCGCGTAAACGTCCCCTCCTCTCTCTGCCAAGATGGTCGCCAGCAGCTATCAAAAAGATGGCCACGCATGCACAATGACGTCACGCACATGTCATGACACCCGGCCTCAGGACGCCCCTGGGTATATGAGTTGTGGTGTGCTGCAGTACATTGAACCCTACTGTACAATGTGTTGGGTTGCCATTCAGAATGAATTGTACCTCAATGCACCACACACAGAAAAGAAAAGCAAGTTAATGTGTGCATTTTAGCATGCAGTGCCGCCTAAACATTCCTTTTAATTATTGCATAGACCTTCATAATATATAGGACTTGTTAATCAGACTATAATGTGCGTGGCTATCTTTACAGGATTAGCTATATGATGTGCTTGTTGAGTCAAAACGTACAGTAACTATAGAGAGCCCAATCTGATGGCTCAATGCAACACTCAGGCAATATAGGGCTCTGATTGTGGCCTATAATTATGGAAGCAGCCATTATTACACACAGATATTCACCCACTTCTTGGGCAGATGCCCCCGCACATACACACACCTGTTCTTGGGGAGATAATTGCCTGTCTATGGCCAGAATGAATGCGCTTTTATTTCAATAGCAGGTACACATCAGACAAAGGAACCTTCCTAGATTATTTTTACTTTGCTTATTGTTAACGTTCGATGCTGGCTTCTCATTTCAATGACTTGGCCGGCTTCAATGCAAAAAAAAAAAAAAACTTGGACACAAACATATTTTTCAATGTTTCAGTAAACTCTACGCAAGACCCGATCAACCTTCACCTCTAGGTTCTGATAAATTATGTTTGCATTTCAAAATACCGAAAGCCCTAAATGCCCTCTCTACCCTAAAGGACCTCATCTTCAGCTGACATTTTCAAAGATTTCCAAAACTTTAACAACCTTCAGGTAACCTTGAGAACTGAATTCAACCTTCACTCCGGCAGGTGCTGAATATATAACATTTTGTCTGTTTTCGGCTAATCAGCTGAGAATTAGACTCGTGGGTGGCCCTGCTGCTCCATCCGGCTTGACAAAAGGTGATTTTTTTTTCCAAATAAAGTTTTATTGGTTTACAAATATAGAAGACATTTCCACATACATTTATACAAACAGGTGGTGTCAGTGCGGAAGGTTCAAAACTGTATGACACTCGTTAGAGGGATAGAAGTAATAGCGGTATTGCCGCTCAGCTATAGAAATCGCAGTAGTACAATAAGTTGACAACTACAGGTGATACATGTACGTTCTTGACAGGTAAAATAGTGTGTGTATTTCAGGTGTAGGTTCCAACATCGGGGCTCTGGTGTGCTGCATACATCTACTATGGTGTGTGTGGAGAAGGCTCCACCGTTATACGATATGCCGTGCGCTTAATAAATGAAGCTCAAGGCTCTACTCGTGAAGGCGCCGGTAGCGCTCCAGCGTGTTGAGAGGTGGCATGCATTTTGATCGGGACGTACCCAGTGATTGCCCCCATTACGGGCATCCGAGTGTGTCAAACTGCGACACCCTACATGACTAACTGACAAAACAGCAGGAGGAGAGGAGGACAAGGGGAGACAAAGGGGAGACAGTCGGAAGGGGAAAAGGATGAGTGAGAGAAGTTTTCGGGTTGCATGTAGGTGTGATGCGCGGAGGAGAATACCGAAGGTCAATTATATAATACATAGTCGGCGCGAGGTGGCTGAGGTGAAGTACTTATCGCAAGTGCTTTCAAAATTGCTCATACGGTCATTAAGTTGGGCTGTTCTTTTTTCCTGTGACATAACCCAGTTGATGTGGTTAGTTACACTGTGGATACTAAGGGGCTTCGTGAGCCAATTTTTAGCAATTTCTCTTTTTGCAGATGTGCATACAGTATATGCATAGAGAGATTGAATTGTTTACGGAGAAGGCCTTCCGGCTTACAGTTAAGCAATGCAAAATGTGGGTCTTTGGTAAGGGGTTGTGAGAACAATGACGATAGGAGGGCGAACACATCATCCCAGAAGGACGAGGCATGAGGGCAGCTCCACCATGTGTGGAAAAAGGTGCCTGGTTCCGGACAGCCACGAAAGCAGTTTGGGGAGCAATCAGGGTTATAGATAGCCATTCTGGCTGGTACCATGTACCAACGCATGAGGACTTGGTAATTAATTTCCAACATGCTTGCACATCGCGAGCTGGATTTAGTATTTTCCCAAGATTGTTGCCAGGTGTCCTCATCAATGGGGGACTCTAAGTCCTTTTCCCATTGGAGGACATAGGAGGGAGGGGGTGTATCTGTGGGGGAGATCAGTGCGGCGTAGAGGAGTGAGATGAGTCCCGGGGTGTGCGGGTTGGTGTGGCAAACTTTCTCAAATGGAGAGAGCCGTATGTTGTTGGTTTGCTTTGGTGTGAAAGTGGTAACAAAATGTTTCATCTGGAGGTACCTGAAGATTTCCCTACTTTGGAGTTGGGTATGCTCTTGGAGGTAAGGGAAGGATTTAATACCTGCGTCGGTTCGTAGGTGATTTTTTAAAAATCTTTTGTTGAAGGAGCCTGTTGGAAAACTGTTGGCCAATCAACTGAAGTCACTGTGTGGGGTCAGGGCTGTCCCTATAATGAGGAAGCATGAGGCTGTTGCCTCAGGTGGCATCCCTTAGGGTCATGTGGGGGATGGCAAGCAGAGTGGCACCCCCTTATGTAATACCAAATATTCATAATATATCTGTAATTATATGAGAACTAACGTTGAAACCACTTGATCTTACCGGATCTAACGAAGGCCTATTAGCCTGAATTTTACCAGAAAATTGCATGTGGGGGGGCTACCACCCCCTCATTAATCACCTAATAAGTCTGTAATTATGTGAGATCTAACAAAACAACTAGTTGATCATACCAGATCTAACAAATAGCTTCCAAAATAGCTAACTGTTTGGTCAATTTTTTGATAAGAGGGGCTGATGACGGGTTAGCCCCCCCAGCAAATAACTGGTAATATCTCTACTTCTATGTGAGATCTAACGCAAACAACAATTAATCTAACAAAGATCTAACCAACTGCATACGTTTTGTTCAAAAATTTTGATATGGGGAGCTAACACGGCTGAGGTCAGATATTCACCCACTTCTTGGGCAGATGCCCCCCCACATACACACACCTGTTCTTGGGGAGATAATTGCCTGTCTATGGCCAGAATGAATGCGCTTTTATTTCAATAGCAGGTACACATCAGACAAAGGAACCTTCCTAGATTATTTTTACTTTGCTTATTGTTAACGTTCGATGCTGGGTTCTCATTTCAATGACTTGGCCGGCTTCAATGCAATTTAAAAAAAAAACTTGGACACAAACATATTTTGCAATGTTTTAGTAAACTCTACGCAAGACCCGATTAACCTTCACCTCTAGGTTCTGAGAAATTATGTTTGCATTTCAAAATACCGAAAGCCCTAAATGTCCTCTCTACCCTAAAGGACCTCATCTTCAGCTGACATTTTCAAAGATTTCCAAAACTTTCGCAACCTTCAGGTAACCTTGAGAACTTAATGCACCTTTCACTCTGGCAGGTGCTGACTATATCAAATATTGGCTGTATCTGGCTGAATCAGCTGAGAATTAGATTAGTGGGTGGCCCTGCTGCGCCACCCGGCTTCACAAAAGGTGATTTTTTTAAAATCAGCTTTTGTGGAGGAGCCTGTTGGAAAACTGTCGGCCAATCAACTGAAGTCTCTGTCTGGGTCAGGGTTGTCCCTACAATGAGGAAGCATGAGGCTGTTGCCTCAGGTGACATCCCTTAGGGTCATGTGGGGGATGGTAAGCATAGTGGCATGGCTGCTCTGCTGCACAATGTTTGCAGTGTGCCTGCCTCCCCCTTTATGGTCAGAGTGTCCCAGGTTGCTAAGAGTCGGGCAGGGAGATCTGTAAGGGCCATACACATCTCCCCAGCCAGGTCTTAGCAACTTGGACACTCTGCCCTGCATCCCCTCCAGCTCCTGGCAACCATTGTTGTCAGTGAGCTCGCAAGACGCACACACATCCCCCATTCCACTCCCCTGAATGTGACTACCAGCACCAACCACACCCCGTAACCCTCCCCCTGCCCTGAAAGGTGACTACCACCAGTTCAGCCACCTTGGGTGGCGATTATGATATGGACACCCCTGGTTTGGGTATGGCAGCACCCGTAGCTGTCAGAATACAGTAGCTGTCAGGGAAGATTTGTTCATCCGCGCTGTTTAGCGATAATGAGGGAAATAAAAGGTTTTTCTTGTTCAGCCCCTATGACATATACATATACAGAAGGTATAAAACATTTCCAGATATGTCATTCTTCTCCCCATCTTCTCTGTTCTAGACAGTTACTTCTCTGGCTTCTCCCTATGGGCCCTCCATGTCATTTGGGCTAGTGAAAGCTTGGATCGCCAATAATAGGATTACACAGACCATTTTTAACAGGGATGTGCGAAATTAAGAGTTTTCATTTTCCCAAGATTTCGGTAAAATATTGCAGTTTTGGTCATTGGGGAAGGCAAACTAAAGGTAGTTTTTAAGGGTACAATGGTCTTTGGCGTTGTAGAAGATCCTTCCGACTATCCTGCATCTGTTTTTGTGCCACAAAACAGCCAATCATTGGCCTCTTTGTTGTACATTTTTCACATAAAAAAGTAATCAAATACATAAAAAAACACACAAATACAAAGAAAGCTAAATAGAAAAACTCACCTAAATATTCCCATCGCAAAAAAAAAAAACACCCTCTAATTAAAGAAACAAAATAGTTTTTTTGTTATTTTTCAAACAAATTTTGCACAATGAGAGAGCACGTGGCTATTGTTGTATTAATTTGGTGACAACGCAGAGTTTTGTTGATATATTTATGTGTACTATTGTTTGCAGCAGATGATCACTTAAATGTATCAGATGCCTCGGATTTGCAGCAGATGATCATGTAAATCTTTGTTTTGTCTTCCTATGTTGTGTTTCCATATGACTGATGACTTTTTCTGTTGCTATGTACTGTATGTTTGTTATATATGTATACAGTGTATATATACATAAAGGGAATTGTTATAGTGAGGTTTAGGGTTGTATCTACAACTACTAGGGGTCCTTGCGTTGTATTAAAGTTACACCACTAGGATTTTTTATTTTTATTCTACGTGTTTACAAATACAGCAGATGAAAGAAATTCCCAGATAGCAAGCAATTGAGCTGTAAGTTTGAAAATGACTTGCTAAACTATTGCTAGACTTGCCAAGCTTCACAATTTTGTTGCACGATTACAGCAAGTCTGCATTGCAAGTCTCCAGATCAACGTGCTTTGCAAAAGTGCCGTACAATTGCAGAGCTCTTGCGAAGACCTGCAGGACTCTTGCTGTAGACTTGCCAAGCAAATTTGCTACAAATTCAAAAAGTGTCACCTAGAACTTGTGTTCCAAATGTTATGCAAGTCTACAACTTGCCAGGAATGTATGCAGCAAGTTAACAAGAATTACAATTTAAACCTGCCAGAAGTTTGTGGCAAGTTATCCGTGCTATCTGGGTTAGTTTTTAGTGTATTATTACATAATTATTACATTCTAGGTACAACGTAACACAGACTGGAAACATCAGAATTGCCACAATGCCACACAGTAATGCAAAACAAATGTCATTAAGTCATGGTCAGCTTTTGGAAACGATGACTCAAGAATCAGTATTGACCAGATGTTAGGTTTTGCAAATGCTGAGATTTGTAGTTCCTCAGCAAGTAAAAGGCTATAGACTACCTAAGCAGTGGTCAGGTACATACTAGGCAGCAAAGTTTCGCTATATAAAGGTTTCTAAAGTTATAAAGTAACACAATGTTACATTTTGTTATAGTGGAAAGACATTCTCCTCCACCATACAAAGCTAAAGAATGTGACTTACGTATACTGGAGAACGCGTTCCCCAAAAAATCCCAGGACAACCCCAAGAAAGGTTAATGTCAGCATTGTCCACGCTGTATGTAATAAGTGAGATCCTCTCTGTACTGTGCTTGGCGAGAGCTGTGAAAGTTACTGAGGGTGGTGCCTCGGTGACAATCCCAAAGGCTGACAAAAACAGGTACCTGGAAGCAATACTGGACATGTCACAATTCCAAAAACCTGCACTGACAATGTCACTTTTTAGTTCTTTATTTAGAGCAATTTTAAAATGTTTTTCCTACTTGCTAAGATCTGCATTTTTGGCCTGAAAATTACTTAAAGGGGTTCTAAACCCTCCGTTTTTTTTGCCTATATCTACTGCTGGTAAGCAGTAGATATAGGCAAGAAGTTTAAAAAAAAAAAAAAAACCATTAAACTTGTTTTAAAT